GTGTGTGTGTGTGTGTGTGTGATGGGTTTGCGTGACTGAGAGAAACACATCATGGAGTGTCTCTTGTGAATGACTCTCTCAGATTGTGTGTCAGACTCATGCAGGTCACATCACAGTCAGAGTCACTTTATTGTCTTCTCTCTGTTGTGTTGAAGAAAATCTTGTGAAATATTATTATAATTTAAAACAGCGGTTTTCTATGTGAATATATTGTAAAATGTAACTGATTGCTGTGATCAAGGCTGAATTTTTCTTCAGTGTCGCATGATCTTCAGAAATCATTCTAATATGCTGATTTGCTGCTCAAGAAACATTTCTGATTATTATCAATGTTGAAAACAGTCGTGCTGCACGATATTTTTGTGGAAACCGTGATATATTTTATTTTTCAGGAAAGTTAGAAAGAACAGCATTTATTTGAAACAGAAATCTTTTAAACATTATAAATGTCTTTACTGTCACTTTTGATCAGTTTAATATGCCAATAGCTTGGTTTCCATCCAAAGTTGCGAATTTAACTTGCGCGCAAAATCGGAATGTCGCATTAAACATTTGCGAATAAGCACCGTTTCCATCCAACGAGTCAAAGAGACCAAAATCGTCACTTCCTGATAAACTGGCACTAAGAAAAATGGGAGAAACCACTGGATACAATAATTTACAATTATACAATTATACAGAAATACTTAGATGACAGACTTTGCTCGGGCATTTCAGAAAGACCATAACAACATTTCAGATGCTGTGCAACGAGATCGGTCCGCTGGTTAGTCAGGTAAGGCCGTCCCTTAGCGCAAATCAATGACATTTTTGATGCGCGTGGAGGACTTTATTCGGCAAATGCATTTCCATCTCCCATTATTCATATTAACTCTTTTTCACACAAGACAAAAACCACCTCAAGCGAGCATAAAAACCTTTGCAAATTAAGGATTTTTTTTTTTTCGAAATTTGGTGTTTCCATCACTCGTTTCTCATGCGATACTTAAATGCGGGTGATGAAAAACAGGGTGATGGAAACATAGCTGTTGATGAATAGAAGTGTTAATTTAAAAAATAAAATGTTACTGGCCTCAAACTTGTAGTTTATCAGTTTAATCTCAAAGTGGTTAATTGTTTTATCACTGCATTGATCTGTGTCTGTAGAGAGTGTTTCTGTGAAGGAGGATGGAGGCGTTTCTCCCGATCTGGAGCGCCTCCTGCTGTCTGGTGATCTGTACTGCAGAGTGTTTTCCTCTCACGCTCTGTCCGGCGTCACAGCGCCACCTAGAGACCTGGGCTCTCTGCTGCAGCTCCTCAGCCGGTACGACCTGATCCCGCTCCACACGGAGCAGCAGAAGCCGGTCGATGAGACGCAGCTGAGCCAGAAACCCATTAACATGGTGAGTGAATAATACACAGACTCACTGCTCTAATGCATGCAGCTGATTTGATTGGCTGACAGGCGTATCTCTCTTCTCTGATTGGTCACAGGGGGCCCATCTGGCCGTGATTGATTCTCTGATGTCACTGAGTGCAATGGAAACCGTGGGTCAGGTTAAGATGACGAAGGAGACGGATCAGTTTGGGTCCAGCAGGAGCTGGGAGAACTCACTGCTCTTCTGGATCAACAAGGTTCATTCCTGATCCTCAATCTAGAGCCAGATCTAGATCTCAGCAGAACCGCTAGGCCAAAAGTCAGAAGTCAAGTCAGCTTTATTTCTACAGTGCTTTATACTATTTCTTTCAAAGCAGCTTCATAGTTAAAAACAGGAAAATAACAGAATCAATGATGCAAACATCATCAAATATGAGACTAATTCAAATTCTGCAGTAAAGCAGCTCTAACAACACAATAGTGTCATTATTCAGCTCATTTCAGTTTGTTTTGTTCTCATCTGCTAGTGTCAGCACCATCAAATCAATGATTCTACCAAATATTAAGTGTCTTTCGAAGAAGTGGAGTGAAACCGGATTTAACTGCTGTGTGAACACAGTGAAGGGATCTGGAATCAGTTTTTAAAACGAATATGAAATAAACTGGTCAAGTTCAGATCTGGATGTGTTGCACTGCATGATCCTGAAGTCGTCTGAGGTTTATTTCTTGCGCAGGTGAATCAGAAGTTGCGAGAAAGCGCTAATGTTGAGGATAATCCGAAGTCAAACCCCTGCACGGACCTGCAGCCGACTCAGCCATCTGTGAGTGAACAGACACTCTCTCACACACACGCACGCACGCACGCACACACACACACACACACACACACACACACTCTCTCACTCACTCACTCACACACACACACACACACACACTCTCTCACTCACTCACTCACACACACACACACACACACACTCTCTCACTCACTCACTCACACACACACACACACACACACTCTCTCACTCACTCACTCACACACACACACACACACACACTCTCTCACTCACTCACTCACACACACACACACACACACACTCTCTCACTCACTCACTCACACACACACACACACACACACTCTCTCACTCACTCACTCACACACACACACACACACACACTCTCTCACTCACTCACTCACACACACACACACACACACACTCTCTCACTCACTCACTCACACACACACACACACACACACTCTCTCACTCACTCACTCACACACACACACACACACACACACTCTCTCTCTCACACACACATACTCTGTTACTAATGCTGACACTAACGCTCATCTCTCTCCTTTCAGTGCCCACAGCGCTGGTACTGGAAACTGGTCCCAGTGAGTATTACAGTTAATAACACACACATCAGCCTGAGTTTCAGTTACTGACGGGACTCACTGGCTTCTCATGATTAATAAGACGTCCTCATTGCATATGTGATCGTGTATGACACGGATCATGGATACAAACCAGAGTTTGAGCCTTTTATCAAGAGTGTCTGTATGCCCACGTCCCCGACAGAAGTGCCTTATTCTGATTGATTCACGTGTTTTGATTGGGGTTGGTATGATTTTGTGATGTTTTTGAAAATCTGTTCTGATCACCAAGGCTGCATTTATTTGATCAAAAATACATAAATACTGAAATATTTTTAACATTTAAAATAACGGCTTTCTATGTGAATATGTGTTAAAACGTACTTGATTTCTGTGATCAAAGCATCATTGCTCCAGTCTTCAGTGTCACATGATCTTCAGAAATCATTCTAATATGCTGATTTGCTGCTCGAGAAACATTTCTGATTATTATCAATGTTGAAAACAGTTGTGCTGCTGACATTTTTGTGGAAACCGTGATACATTTTATTTTTCAGGATTCACAGATGAATAGAAAAGTCAAAAGAACAGCATTTATTTGAAACAATAAATGTCTTCACTATCACTTTTGATCAATTTAATGCATCCTTGCGTCAGTTTCTTTAAAAAAATACTACTGACCCCAAACTTTTGGACGTTAGTGTATATTTACCAATATTTGGCCTTTCTCCTCTGTCTCAGAACACACAATGTACCCTTTGACCTCTTCCGTTGAATGACATGTGCGCTGATATCGGTCCAGCCAATAGGAATCAGGGGGTGGGGATCAAGCAGTGTCTCCGCCCCCTGTTACTTCTGTTTGTCATGTGACTGTGTGTGAATCTGGTTGCCGTAGCGACGACCCCTGGGCATTTACCCGTGTGCTCTCTCTGCCATACTGCACCCAGCATGCCATCGCATTTTGTTTGAAGGAGTCGGGGAATAAGCCTCCTGTGGTAACGTATCCGCCCGCCTCCTGTCTCCATCACACACACACACACACACACACACACACACACACCTCAGCATGACGTCATCACTGTCCTGTGTTTGATTTCACTCCTGTCACAGATCTCTGCAGGAAACACATGGTTCTTGTAGTGTATTCTAGGTTGCAGATCACTTTATAATTCAGGTTTTCTTCCAGTTTAACACAAATGCTTTCACTTTCTTTGGTTTGTTTCTCACCGTCACCTGCTGTATTTCCATTGCTGGACTCTGGATGGCGCTCCACCTCACTGAAGCCAACATTTCAGCCTCACATATTCACACACTCACTCATGTGTATCAGTGTTTTGTTCTTCCCCGTCACCCTTCACCTGTCCTGCTGTCGTCTGTGTGTGAGTGAATCTCATGAAACCATGAACATTTTCCATATTTCCTCCCAAATCCAAAAAATAAGAAACTAAATTTTAAATAAATATAGCCTACTTTTAGCATTTAAATTTGCACAATGAAGTTATGATGATATTTAACCCCCATAAACCCATTACTGTGAAATAGTGCAATTACAAAACAGTGGCATGCATGAGCTGCGTTTGTTGTACAACCTATAATTTGCACTGATTTTAATCAAATGTTATTGTAATTCCATAGTTTATAGTGCTTTATTTCAGTAATGAGAACCACTATTGAGAATTATGCAGATTGAAAACATGAATTTTTTTAGGCATAACGAATGTTTGCATTTACAGTAAAGAGAACTTGTGGGAAAAAATTTTAAAGTTAGACTTTGTAAAAATGTAAAAAACGTAGTTCTAAATATAGGCTTAATTATCTTTATGTACAGTGCAATTTTTTTTTTATTTCTTTTGATTCTGGGGTGAAAAGTGAGCCAGACATGTTTTCATGAGATTATGAGTGTGTGTTTGTATTGTACGCACTGGCTGGTTTGTGCTGGTTTTGCTGTGTGTGTGTGTGTGTGTGTGTGTGTGTGTGTGTGTGAGTGTGTGTGTGTGTGTGTGAGTGTGTGTTGAGCGGATCTGAACAGCTCTCTGAGAGCGACTTCTCCTGCACGCTGACATTCACTCAGTGATCAGTCACTGAAGGACTGTGATGAGTTTGATGCGCATTCACTGATAGTGCTGAAATGGACAGTGAATGAATCTGATTCTGTGAGTCAGACTGAACAAAAGTGAATCTGATTCACTTGAAAGAAGACTGTGTTTTTGTTGCTATTTCCCTCCCTGGTTTTCTTTGACAGTATTTCTTTTTAAATAAATATATTTTAAATGATCTTTCTTCTGGACACTTCTGAACAGTTTTCCTGCTGTCTGTGTGTCTGCCTATCTCAGATCCGTTACAGGAAAGATAAGGTTCAGTCTAAACAGACTCCAGTGTTTGTGGTGGTTTCTGGAGTAAAGGATCTGTCTAATGGCTGCGCCATCGCTGCTGCGATTCACTTCTACTGTCCTCAGATTCTGCCCCTGGAGGGTAAAACACACGTTTATCTGGCTGTTTACAGACAAACAGAAACCTTAAAAGAAAACTACCCACTACTCATCTCACTTTCTGTCTGTAGATGTGTGTTTGAAGGACACCATGTCCGTGGCAGACAGTATGTACAATCTCCAGCTGATCAGAGAGTTTTGTGAAAGTCACCTAAAGAGCTGCTGCCCCCTACAGCTGGAAGATTTACTCTATGCCCCGCCCACTTTACAGGTGAGATATGCCCCACCCACTTTGCAGGTGCATTATGCCCTGCCCACTTTACAGGTAAGTGATGTCCCACCCATTTTAGAAGTGAGATGGGCATGCAGCATAGTGTTTATTGAGAATCATGAAATGTATAATATTATGATAAATATGTAAGCATTTTGTCTTTTGACCCCAAAAGATGAACATTATGTGCTTCCTTTCGGAGCTGTTCGCCACGTTCGAAGTGCAGAAACCAGACTTTGTCAAACCCAAACACACACTGGACCTAACAGGTGGAAATAAACATACATAAACATATGAGTGAACACAAAAACACACAGCACATTCAGATCCTAAACAAGCTCTCTGTTGTCCTACAGATGCATCAGATCTGGTCGACTGCACAAGTCCGATCAGTGGCAACAGCAACAGGTAAAGCTCTCTTTACAAAACACTAAGAAGCTGCTTTATCTTGTTAGCAGTTGAACTGCATCATGGGATTTGATATCTTTCTTCCAGTGGAACTCCATCTTTCCTTCTGAAGCAGTCGCTCCTGCCTCAGTCCTCTTCTGTGTCTGGTGAGAGCTCTCTGGGATGTGGATTCTCGTTTGTTTTGCATGTGGAGTTTGTTTTCTCAGTTTAGGCTTTGGGCTACAAGTTGTGCTTTTTTTAGAATTTGTAGTTTTATATTTGCAAATATATATCCTTTTTGGGTTTTGTATGTAACTGATCTACTATTTTCATATTTGATGTTATGTAGAAGGACGGGGCTGGACCAAAAAGCAAATTAGGTATGTCTTTGTATAATGACCTTTCAATTCAAGAAAGTACGACTAATTTCATTTTTATGATAAAAATTATGTGACTAAATAGTACTCTAAATCATTAAACATTTTTATTTATATAATTCATTCAAGCAACAGGGATCTTTTTCTGTTTCTCTGTCTCAGCCGTCCTCTCTCCGCTGTGGCCTTCAACATCCCATTCCCACTGGACAGTGATGTTGATGTTGTTATGGGCAATCCTCTCTTCCGTTCCGTCAGTACAGACAGCCTCACAATGGTAACCAACCCAGGTCCTTACACGCCCCCAGAGGATCTGAGTAAACTCATTGGTCACGCTCCTCTAGGAGAGTTACCTACCATAGAAGAAGCATTACAGATTTTTCATACTTCCCGTCCAGTAAACAATGAGCCCCGGCTGCGGCCAGAGGGAGCTCCGTCTGGCTTTTACCTCCACTCCCCTGAGGGGGGTGAAGCCAGACTGAGCAGCTCTGCTCCCTGCCGGTCGGGGATTATGTATCGACCAATTGGAGGAGGGCCTGATAGCTGTGGGAACCGCAAACGACAACCTGTTGGTTCACAAGAAAACCATGAAGGTTTAGAGTGCGACACACCTGAAGACTCTCCCAAAACCTCCTCCAGCCCAGCCAACGGGCCCAAGACTGGTCGCATGACAAACTTTGCTGAATGCAGGAAGAAGATGCCAGAATCCCCAAGTAATTCCAGGTCCCAGGAAGTGGAGTCATTGTTGAGCCCTGCAATGATGAGCCCCGTTGGGGCAGTGGAGGCGCAGGAGCTAGGTGCACGTCTGGAGGAGAAACGTAAAGCTATCGAAGCTCAAAAGAGGCGGATCGAGGCCATCTTCACCAAGCACAGGCAGAGGCTGGGCAAGACTGCCTTCCTTCAACTCCAGAAGAAACAGGGGGAAGAACTGGAAGATGAAGGACAATCCCTCACTCTGGATGAACGACTGACACGAATGGAGCAGCAGCTCCAACAAGAGGAGGACAGAGAGAAGGAGGATGAAAAAAAGAAAAAGGAGGAGGAGAAGAAAGAAAATGATGGAGAGCAGAAGATGGAGAGCACTGGTGATGTAGTAGCTCCACCTAAACTGGAGAAACAGGTTACCTTCTCTGTTGAAACGAAGAAAGAGGAGGGGAAAGAGCCACCATTGGGGGAATATAATGAGGCAGTAGCCAAGCTAACCTCCACCCTACAGTCCCTACAAAGGGACATGCAGCGCCTTACAGAACAGCAGCAAAAGCTCATGGGAAAGAAAACTCTTAGTTCTCCGAAAAACACCCCCTCAAATAAGACACCTACCTCCAGCAAGGCCTGGGTCATCCCGTCTGGTTCCAAATCCCCTGCTACACCCCCTCATCTTTCTACAGAGTCCACCCGTATAATTTCACCCTCTGGATCTCCATCACGCTCCGGACAACTTTCTGACACACCAAGATCCCCTAAAAGTTCAGCAGCATCTGCTCCACGCAAATCCCGTGGTGCTGCTTCCAAGAGCCCCAAACGGCAACGTCCCTCCCGCCCCACAGACCTCGGTTTCCAGCCTCTCACACGTGTCCTTACGCCCCCACAGAACGTGGACACGCTTCCCCATCTGCGGAGAGTCTCTCCAAGCCAGTGCCAGGTGCAGACCTGCTCCTCGCTGCGATTCGGTGGTCCATGCACGCCCCAGGACTCTCCACCGCAACCTGCTCCGCTTCAAGAGAGCACCTCAGAATCTGGCTCCAGTGACCATCACACCCCAATCTTCAACCTGGAGCTGGAGGCTGGACCTCCTTCTGCACTCCCAGCTGAACTGTTAGGAGGTGGGAGCAGCTCAGGAGCCCCATCAGAGTGCTCATTTGAAAGCGACATGCTGCTTAGCAGCGTCCTGGTGAAAGATGAGACCGAGGGTGCAGGGACGGTGGGAGATGACACGGATCTGGAACAGGGCGCAGAAATATTCTCATCGGATTCCATGAGCGACCAGACAGAGAATGAGAGCAAGATGGGGCTCGATGTGTTCTTTAAGGTTTGTGAAGGTCTGCTTGCGCTTTGGCTAATTGTACATGTCTGAGGTGTTTGTAACGTGTGTCTTTGTGGGTGTTCAGGAGGAGGGTCTTTCGGAGGAGGAGATGGCCCAGAAAAGGGCTCTGCTGTTGGAACGACAGCAAAGACGGGCTCAAGAGATCAAGAAACGTGCAAGACATGAGCAAGACCCTGAGAACAGGTAAGAACATCTACTTGTCCAAACCCGTTCATTCAGGACCTTCATTTAGGACTCACTGATCTCTGCTTTCTCCAATAGTCCACAGGCTTCTCTGGATGACCTGCGACCTTCTCAAACTCTGCTGCTTTCACAGTCACTGCCCACTTCATACACCCCACCCCCTCCATCAAAAGCCACGCCCCCAGGAACGCCCCTGCGGCGAGGAGAGTTTACCAGGGCAGAGTATGAAAGGCGTCTGCAGCTAAAGATTATGGCTGATCTAGGGAAGGTTCTCAAACAGAAACCAGCAAAGCACAGCGGCAAAAAACAACATGCACACAAACCGCACAACAACCATGAACTTACTCACACACGCTCACCGGGGAAGAACAAAACAGGTAATCACACATCATTAGTACTTAAATTAGTACCTGAAGTGGGTAACTACTAGCGTCACCAAACAGAATTGCTATCTGGCTGTATGAGTGAAACAGCAACATTTGCTCAACCAGAATAAGTTTGGGACGGGACTGTCAACCTGTTTGTTGAGCAGTGTCAGATGGAAGTAGAGTTTGAAGCTGTTTTGTATTTTGCTCTAAAACCAGTTTTGTTCACTCACACAGTTGTCGCTAACATGAAAGTTGGCGCATCTCTATCAACTGAAAAGCCAGCGAGGTACTGTACCAGAGCTGCCATGTCTTTCTGTCTTCTGTCTTCCATACATCTTTGTCTTTACTTTGTCTAAAGCTTCCTCTCTCACTCTACATCTCAGTTGTTCAGAGTCGCCCTCAAAGGTGATGTCATCAGGGCAGTTGGCCAATCAGAATGGGGAAAAAGACTGGGAACATGCCTTCAATGCCTCCTCTCCAGCCTCACTCCCAGAATACACAGGTAAAGAGCCGGTTATTGATTTTAAGATCAATTTCCATGTTTGAAAAGAAGTTAGGGTTAGTGTGAAATTTTAGAGCTATTTAAGTCATCTGTAGTTCTGTATGTGGTCGCCAATTTGTTCTGAGTGGTTACTAGGAAGTTTTTTGTGGTGCTAGACTGTTTCTAAGGTGGTCTTGAATAGATTTTAAGGATTTCTAGGCACCTCCTAGGATGATCTGGGTAATCTTTTAGATGTTCCTGTAGGATTAATAAGGTTTTCTCAGTGGTTGCAAGGGCACTGCTTAGTAGTTGCTAAGGTGGTCTTTTGTTTGTGGGGGCATTGCTAGGTGGTTGCTAGGCTGTTGTGAATAATTGCTAGTTGGCTTATAGGATGTTCTGCGTGGTTACTGGAACTTAGCTGAGGTCTTCTGCTAGTGGGTAACTGGGCTGTTCTGAGTAACTGGCGGGCAATTTCTAGGATCTTCAGGGCGGTTGCTAGAGCGTGACTGAAGATAAGGTTTTCTGGGTGGCTGGTAATCATAATAACACCCTTCAGAGGTTTAACTGCACTGTGTAGAACAGGTAAGTAAGAATTCAGATCAAGTGGTTTGCTCTGTTTTGAAAAGATGAAGAAATAGCACCACCTGCTGGCTGTAGTCATTACCTTATTTGATCTGTGTGGCTTTCTAGTTCTCTGTTTAGTCAAAATGTTATCTTCTGTTTCAGGTCCTAAATTATTTAAGGAACCCAGTTTTAAATCAAACAAGTTCATCATTCACAACGCTCTCTCACGCTGCTGCCTTGCTGGCAAAGTCAATGAATCCCAGAAAAACAAGATCATAGAGGTGCGTCACTGTTCATCTTTCTACAAAGACATTACTCCCTTTGTGCACTTTCACTTTCTGACATTCACATTGCCTCCTGTCTCTCTAGGAGATGGAGAAGAGCTCCGCCAGTCACTTCCTGATTCTCCTGCGTGATGCCAACTGTCAGTTCCGTGCCATCTACACCCTAGACGGCCAGTCGGAGGAGCTGCATCGACTCTGCGGCGTTGGCCCGCGTGCCATTTCCTCGTCAGCTGTGGAGGCCATTTATAAATACAGCTCCGACAGGAAACAGTTCAATACGCTCCCATCTCGTACCCTGAGCATGAGCGTCGACGCTTTCACTATCCCCGCCCATCTCTGGCACACTAAGAAACATGGCACGCCCAAAAAAGTAGCAACACCCAAATAGACTCCACCTACTCAAAATAAACCACTCCTGCTGAGATGAACTGCTCCCCCTTAAATAAGCCACACCTACTGGAATAAACCCCTCCCATTTACAAACGTAGCCACACCCAAATAGACTCCACCTACTCAAAATAAACCACTCCTGCTGAGATAAACTGTTTCCACTTAAATAAGCCACACCTACCGGAATAAACCCCTCCCATTTACAAAAGTAGCCGCACCAAATAGACTCCGCCTACTCAAAATAAACCACTCCTGCAGAGATATGCTGCTCTTATTGGAATAAACCCATTTACAAAAGTAGCCACATCCAAATAGACTCCGCCCACTCAAACTAATAGGTGTGTTTGACTTGAAGCGGCGCTGCACAGACCGATCAAAGTATCGCGAGAGCGATTCAAAAGCATAAGAAGCTGTCTGCTCTCTTATCACTCTTGCGGCAATTTGATGTCATATACCAATCGGTCCGGACAGCATTGCATTAAGTCGAACACACCTAATGACTCCAGCTAAAATAAATCCCTCCTACCCACACAAGTAACCCCATCCACTCAAAATAACTACACCCTCCAAGCTAAACTATGCTGCATTCATGCCATGTCATAATTACGATAATATCGAGATGACAACACATGCCGTTCTAATCTGATCTGAATTATGCATTCAGAATTATGCATTCCTATGGAAACACTATGAACTGAGGTGGTCAGGTGGTACAGTGGTCACATGGTACATGTCGTAGCTCTTAGAAAATTCCCAGTTTACAAGTTATAATTACGAGTTCTTCGAGGACGTGAACGCTTTTTACAAGTTGGTATCACGGCACCTAAGCTACTCTCTCTGGAATAAACTCCTCCCACCAATAATAAACCCTCCTGCTCAAATCATCCAGGCCTACCCCAATAAACCCACTATAAGTGCCATTCCTCTAAACAAAAATCTTACCAGCACTAAATCCACAACACAAACTCTCTCTATAATGAAGCGAGTCGAGTTAGCTGTTTATGATCAACCAGAAGGATCTCCTCATGTTTTCTGACTCTGCATGAAGACAGACGAACCCTAAGGTTTTCACGTTACTAAAGACTGAGGAAACCACGCGTCCTGTTTGCATGTGAACGATCGGTTCAGTCCAAATATCTCTTGATGGTCACACCAACTGAGCACTTGAAGTGTTTCTCTCTGATTTTTGTGATCTATATTCTCTCCTCTTATAGATACAAACTTTTGAATCTCAAGTCTACCAGTACTGTAGTTTTAGTGAGAATCACTGCTGGGTTTCACTATCTAGTCTCTGTCTGGCTAGATGATTTTAGGAAATCTCCTGCTGCATACTCTTTCTCTCTTTTATAATATTTCATCAGCCCTTCCATTCTTCATGAACCTGTGTGGAGTAAATGACTCTCGCTTTCCTCCTGATGGATCTCCGGCCGTCCAAAGACTGAGGCATCATGTGTTCATGTGTGTGAGCAGATGTCTGGACTGTTGAACTGAGTTTGTCAGCTGAATATGGATCAGTCACGGTCATGAGAACCTGATCCTGGATCAGTATTAAAAAGCCATTGGACCTCCATCATAAGCTTCAGTGTTGGTGGCTCATGTGCTGTATGTGTGTAGACATTCCCTTCATATGTGTGTGTGTGTGTGTGTGTTTCAGGACTGATGGGTTGGGTGAGGGTGAAAGTGTAATGACCTCATAAAAGCATCATAATACTGTTTTTTGTACATGTACTATGGTAAATGAATATAAGAGACTTTCAGGATCATATATGAAGGACTCATGGCTTTAGCGTCTGATATATGTCTCATCACCGCCTCCTCCTGTGTGTGTGTGTGAGACGGGCTGCTGGGATATTTTCTAATATGAGTTTTGACATCATCCTTGTGTGTTTTTCCTGCTATATGATGATGATGATAATGACTTTGTGATGAACGTGTAGGTTAATAAAATCATTTCTAACATTTCAACTCCAAAGTCTGACAACAAATGAGTTTGTTGTGCTCAGGCAACATATACACATTTGGAGGGCCTATGTATATATTCATACAGAATTTGATGTTTGAAATGGTGTTTTTCACAAGTATTTCAAAAGGGCAAAAAGTATTTGTGCCATGCTGATGAGATCACCGATACACACGGTTCACACACACTGAGCGTTTACATAGTTTTGTTTAATCCTCACAGCAATGATTAATTTGCCTGTTTAATGTGCAGATGGTGAAGAGAGAGCTGATGAGAAACACAGAAGATCCTGCAGCATTTGTGCCTGAGGCTCCTGTGAGCGTGAGACTCTCAGACATCAAGAGATACTATTTCAGCTCCTGAACGATGAGGTTTTTTATTAAAAAATAAAAGTACATCTGGTTGAAGTTCTTCAAAAACCAACATAAAGTGTGCTGCACAGTCACTACCTGACTGAACTGCACAAATACAACTCACTGCATGACACAGCGTGGCTTTACCCAAGAAAACATCAGGTTTGCACTGCATTAGTGCTTTTAATGTATATCTCGTGTAGTTTTGTGTTTCTAACTGTAACAAGCTCAGATGAGCATTAAGTAAACCTGAATTACGCTCTTACTCAGAGATGTTTCCTCACTTTTCTCATGGTTCTTCATCAAAGTACTTTTTTGAATATTTGCATGTCATTATGTCTGGAAACGGTTCTGTCCCCGGGGCTGTACGCTCTCGCTCAGGGGCCCGTCACTGTGTGACTGACGCACATGAAGACCGATTATAAAACACGCCGTCTCCAGCGTCTTGCACTACTCTACACCAGCGCCTCTGCTGACATCGTCTCCACTCACCGTCTCACGTCTCTCCACTCTTGACATGGCGTTCAGATCTCAGCGTTTCTCTGGCAGGTCTTTCTCCGCGGCCAGCAGCCGTTCGATGGCTCCCGGCAGCTTCTCCAGCTTTGGAAGTCAGTCGATGATGGCTGGAGGTCTGCAGAGCGGCGCCGGCTTGGGCTTCGGATCTGGAGCCAGTTTGGGCTTTGGGTCTGGTTATGGCGCGGGTGGAGGTTCTCTCTCGGGTAGTTTGAGGACGGTTGGAGGCTCTCTCTCGAGCGCAGGAGGTGGAGGCTCCGTCGGGGCGAGTTTCAGGGCGGGCACAGGGTCTTTCGCAGAAGCCATGTCCAACGTCATCAACGAGAAACAGCAGATGCAGGTTCTGAACGACCGTCTCGCGACCTACCTGGAGAAGGTGAAGCGCCTGGAGACCACGAACCACGAGCTCAATGAGAAGCTCCGTGCGTTCACCGTCAACAGAGTCCAGAGCAGCTTCAACCTGGAGCCCTACGAGATCCAGATAAAGCCACTGCGCGAGAAGGTGCCCAGATTTTCTGCATGCGTTTCAGTGTTCAATTTTACAAATACTTCATTGGCATCATTGTTTTTACATATGATATTGTCATATGCATATAGTGTTATAGCTACTCAAAACAATGACAAGAAAAGGAGATATACAGTATGTCAATAGCAAATAACAATAAAACCGTATTAATGTGCTACGCATCTGACATGATCTGTTTTCTCTTTCTCCAGCTTCTGCTTCTCATGCAGGACCACACACGCATCGCTTTAGCCGTAGACAACGCCAAACTGGCCGCTGATGATTTCAGAATGAAGTAAGTTTGATTCACATCAGTTTCTGACTGGATGAGCCACATTCAAAGCTTTAATTAATCACTGTAAAACATGGTTAAATGCCCATCCTCACCGACAACTTTAACTATAAGGATATAACTATATTAGCGTCCACACCATGTGTGATAACTATAACTATATTAGCATCCACACCGTTTAGTCAAAATGTTATCTTCTGTTTCAGGTCCTAAATTATTTAAGGAACCCAGTTTTAAATCAAACAAGTTCATCATTCACAACGCTCTCTCACGCTGCTGCCTTGCTGGCAAAGTCAATGAATCCCAGAAAAACAAGATCATAGAGGTGCGTCACTGTTCATCTTTCTACAAAGACATTACTCCCTTTGTGCACTTTCACTTTCTGACATTCACATTGCCTCCTGTCTCTCTAGGAGATGGAGAAGAGCTCCGCCAGTCACTTCCTGATTCTCCTGCGTGATGCCAACTGTCAGTTCCGTGCCATCTACACCCTAGACGGCCAGTCGGAGGAGCTGCATCGACTCTGCGGCGTTGGCCCGCGTGCCATTTCCTCGTCAGCTGTGGAGGCCATTTATAAATACAGCTCCGACAGGAAACAGTTCAATACGCTCCCATCTCGTACCCTGAGCATGAGCGTCGACGCTTTCACTATCCCCGCCCATCTCTGGCACACTAAGAAACATGGCACGCCCAAAAAAGTAGCAACACCCAAATAGACTCCACCTACTCAAAATAAACCACTCCTGCTGAGATAAACTGTTTCCACTTAAATAAGCCACACCTACCGGAATAAACCCCTCCCATTTACAAAAGTAGCCGCACCAAATAGACTCCGCCTACTCAAAATAAACCACTCCTGCAGAGATATGCTGCTCTTATTGGAATAAACCCATTTACAAAAGTAGCCACATCCAAATAGACTCCGCCCACTCAAACTAATAGGTGTGTTTGACTTGAAGCGGCGCTGCACAGACCGATCAAAGTATCGCGAGAGCGATTCAAAAGCATAAGAAGCTGTCTGCTCTCTTATCACTCTTGCGGCAATTTGATGTCATATACCAATCGGTCCGGACAGCATTGCATTAAGTCGAACACACCTAATGACTCCAGCTAAAATAAATCCCTCCTACCCACACAAGTAACCCCATCCACTCAAAATAACTACACCCTCCAAGCTAAACTATGCTGCATTCATGCCATGTCATAATTACGATAATATCGAGATGACAACACATGCCGTTCTAATCTGATCTGAATTATGCATTCAGAATTATGCATTCCTATGGAAACACTATGAACTGAGGTGGTCAGGTGGTACAGTGGTCACATGGTACATGTCGTAGCTCTTAGAAAATTCCCAGTTTACAAGTTATAATTACGAGTTCTTCGAGGACGTGAACGCTTTTTACAAGTTGGTATCACGGCACCTAAGCTACTCTCTCTGGAATAAACTCCTCCCACCAATAATAAACCCTCCTGCTCAAATCATCCAGGCCTACCCCAATAAACCCACTATAAGTGCCATTCCTCTAAACAAAAATCTTACCAGCACTAAATCCACAACACAAACTCTCTCTATAATGAAGCGAGTCGAGTTAGCTGTTTATGATCAACCAGAAGGATCTCCTCATGTTTTCTGACTCTGCATGAAGACAGACGAACCCTAAGGTTTTCACGTTACTAAAGACTGAGGAAACCACGCGTCCTGTTTGCATGTGAACGATCGGTTCAGTCCAAATATCTCTTGATGGTCACACCAACTGAGCACTTGAAGTGTTTCTCTCTGATTTTTGTGATCTATATTCTCTCCTCTTATAGATACAAACTTTTGAATCTCAAGTCTACCAGTACTGTAGTTTTAGTGAGAATCACTGCTGGGTTTCACTATCTAGTCTCTGTCTGGCTAGATGATTTTAGGAAATCTCCTGCTGCATACTCTTTCTCTCTTTTATAATATTTCATCAGCCCTTCCATTCTTCATGAACCTGTGTGGAGTAAATGACTCTCGCTTTCCTCCTGATGGATCTCCGGCCGTCCAAAGACTGAGGCATCATGTGTTCATGTGTGTGAGCAGATGTCTGGACTGTTGAACTGAGTTTGTCAGCTGAATATGGATCAGTCACGGTCATGAGAACCTGATCCTGGATCAGTATTAAAAAGCCATTGGACCTCCATCATAAGCTTCAGTGTTGGTGGCTCATGTGCTGTATGTGTGTAGACATTCCCTTCATATGTGTGTGTGTGTGTGTGTGTTTCAGGACTGATGGGTTGGGTGAGGGTGAAAGTGTAATGACCTCATAAAAGCATCATAATACTGTTTTTTGTACATGTACTATGGTAAATGAATATAAGAGACTTTCAGGATCATATATGAAGGACTCATGGCTTTAGCGTCTGATATATGTCTCATCACCGCCTCCTCCTGTGTGTGTGTGTGAGACGGGCTGCTGGGATATTTTCTAATATGAGTTTTGACATCATCCTTGTGTGTTTTTCCTGCTATATGATGATGATGATAATGACTTTGTGATGAACGTGTAGGTTAATAAAATCATTTCTAACATTTCAACTCCAAAGTCTGACAACAAATGAGTTTGTTGTGCTCAGGCAACATATACACATTTGGAGGGCCTATGTATATATTCATACAGAATTTGATGTTTGAAATGGTGTTTTTCACAAGTATTTCAAAAGGGCAAAAAGTATTTGTGCCATGCTGATGAGATCACCGATACACACGGTTCACACACACTGAGCGTTTACATAGTTTTGTTTAATCCTCACAGCAATGATTAATTTGCCTGTTTAATGTGCAGATGGTGAAGAGAGAGCTGATGAGAAACACAGAAGATCCTGCAGCATTTGTGCCTGAGGCTCCTGTGAGCGTGAGACTCTCAGACATCAAGAGATACTATTTCAGCTCCTGAACGATGAGGTTTTTTATTAAAAAATAAAAGTACATCTGGTTGAAGTTCTTCAAAAACCAACATAAAGTGTGCTGCACAGTCACTACCTGACTGAACTGCACAAATACAACTCACTGCATGACACAGCGTGGCTTTACCCAAGAAAACATCAGGTTTGCACTGCATTAGTGCTTTTAATGTATATCTCGTGTAGTTTTGTGTTTCTAACTGTAACAAGCTCAGATGAGCATTAAGTAAACCTGAATTACGCTCTTACTCAGAGATGTTTCCTCACTTTTCTCATGGTTCTTCATCAAAGTACTTTTTTGAATATTTACATGTCATTATGTCTGGAAACGGTTCTGTCCCCGGGGCTGTACGCTCTCGCTCAGGGGCCCGTCACTGTGTGACTGACGCACATGAAGACCGATTATAAAACACGCCGTCTCCAGCGTCTTGCACTACTCTACACCAGCGCCTCTGCTGACATCGTCTCCACTCACCGTCTCACGTCTCTCCACTCTTGACATGGCGTTCAGATCTCAGCGTTTCTCTGGCAGGTCTTTCTCCGCGGCCAGCAGCCGTTCGATGGCTCCCGGCAGCTTCTCCAGCTTTGGAAGTCAGTCGATGATGGCTGGAGGTCTGCAGAGCGGCGCCGGCTTGGGCTTCGGATCTGGAGCCAGTTTGGGCTTTGGGTCTGGTTATGGCGCGGGTGGAGGTTCTCTCTCGGGTAGTTTGAGGACGGTTGGAGGCTCTCTCTCGAGCGCAGGAGGTGGAGGCTCCGTCGGGGCGAGTTTCAGGGCGGGCACAGGGTCTTTCGCAGAAGCCATGTCCAACGTCATCAACGAGAAACAGCAGATGCAGGTTCTGAACGACCGTCTCGCGACCTACCTGGAGAAGGTGAAGCGCCTGGAGACCACGAACCACGAGCTCAATGAGAAGCTCCGTGCGTTCACCGTCAACAGAGTCCAGAGCAGCTTCAACCTGGAGCCCTACGAGATCCAGATAAAGCCACTGCGCGAGAAGGTGCCCAGATTTTCTGCATGCGTTTCAGTGTTCAATTTTACAAATACTTCATTGGCATCATTGTTTTTACATATGATATTGTCATATGCATATAGTGTTATAGCTACTCAAAACAATGACAAGAAAAGGAGATATACAGTATGTCAATAGCAAATAACAATAAAACCGTATTAATGTGCTACGCATCTGACATGATCTGTTTTCTCTTTCTCCAGCTTCTGCTTCTCATGCAGGACCACACACGCATCGCTTTAGCCGTAGACAACGCCAAACTGGCCGCTGATGATTTCAGAATGAAGTAAGTTTGATTCACATCAGTTTCTGACTGGATGAGCCACATTCAAAGCTTTAATTAATCACTGTAAAACATGGTTAAATGCCCATCCTCACCGACAACTTTAACTATAAGGATATAACTATATTAGCGTCCACACCATGTGCGATAACTATAACTATATTATCGTCCACACCATGAGTGATGATTATAACTATAACTATATTCGCGTCCACACCATGTGCGATAACTATATTAGCATCCACACCATGAACAATAACTATAACTATATTAGCATCCACACCATGAGTGATGACTATAACGATAACTATATTCGCGTCCACACCATGAACAATAACTATAACTATATTAGCATCCACACCATGAGTGATGACTATAACGATAACTATATTCGCGTCCACACCATGAACAATAACTATAACTATAACTATATTCGCGTCCACACCATGAGTGATGACTATAACGATAACTATATTCGCGTCCACACCATGAACAATAACTATAACTATAACTATATTCGCGTCCACACCATGAGTGATGACTATAACGATAACTATATTCGCGTCCACACCATGAACAATAACTATAACTATAACTATATTCGCGTCCACACCATGAGTGATGACTATAACGATAACTATATTCGCGTCCACACCATGAACAATAACTATAACTATAACTATATTCGCGTCCACACCATGAGTGATGACTATAACTATAACTATTTTCACGTCCACACCATGAACAATAACTATAACTATATTCGCGTCCACACCATGAGTGATGACTATAACGATAACTATATTCGCGTCCACACCATGTGCGATAACTATATTAGCATCCACACCATGAACAATAACTATAACTATATTAGCATCCACACCATGAGTGATGACTATAACGATAACTATATTCGCGTCCACACCATGTGCGATAACTATATTAGCATCCACACCATGAACAATAACTATAACTATATTAGCATCCACACCATGAGTGATGACTATAACGATAACTATATTCGCGTCCACACCATGTGCGATAACTATATTAGCATCCACACCATGAACAATAACTATAACTATATTAGCATCCACACCATGAGTGATGACTATAACGATAACTATATTCGCGTCCACACCATGTGCGATAACTATATTAGCATCCACACCATGAACAATAACTATAACTATATTAGCATCCACACCATGAGTGATGACTATAACGATAACTATATTCGCGTCCACACCATGTGCGATAACTATATTAGCATCCACACCATGAACAATAACTATAACTATATTAGCATCCACACCATGAGTGATGACTATAACGATAACTATATTCGCGTCCACACCATGTGCGATAACTATATTAGCATCCACACCATGAACAATAACTATAACTATATTAGCATCCACACCATGAGTGATGACTATAACGATAACTATATTCGCGTCCACACCATGTGCGATAACTATATTAGCA